TGTCCAATCTCTTCTTAAAAACTTCCAGTGTTGGAGCATTCACCGCTTTTGGAGGCAGGTTGTTCCACTGATTAACTGTTCTAACTGTCAGGAAGTTTCTCCTTAGTTCTAGGTTGCTTCTCTCTTTGGTTAGTTTCCATCCATTGCTTCTTGTCCTGCCTTCAGGTGCTTTGGAGAATAGCTTGACTCCCTCTTCTTTGTGACCACTCCTGAGATATTGGAACACTGCTATCATGTCCTTCTCTTCATTAAGCTAGACATACCCAATTCCAGCAACCGTTCCTTGTAAGTTTTAGTCTCCAGTCCCCTGATCATCTTTGTTGGTCTGTTCTTCACTCTTTCTAGAGTCTCCACATCTTTTTTACATCGTGGTGACCAAAACTGGATGCAGTATTCCACGTAGGGTGAGATCAACATTTGCTTTCCAAATGTGATGGATCAACTCCTGAAATGTTCAGGGTATCAGATATTAGGGAATATTTTTAAGCAATGAGAGTTTCAGTACTGATGCCAAAAGTAAAAATAAACAGGAATATCTATTAATACTTATCTTGCTAATTTTCAGTCTCAAAGTATGGAAATTACTGCAAGTTAGACTGGACAATACAACCAATTCTTTCTTTCTTACTATTTGTTAAATTTCTTTGCCACCTATCTTGCTGTGAGGCTTACAATAATAAAAAAAGGAAGAAATGAAAAGAGTGTGAAAAATAAGATAATGGCAATAAAATAAACAATGAAAAAAACCAACAACAAAAAATACAATTATATGGTTACCAAAAAAGAAAGATGGACAGGTAGAAAGCAGAAAATAGAGTGGAGATGGGGGGAGTGGAGTCTGCCATCAATCCAACAGTCACCCAGCATGGAACTCTCCCAATTAATCCCCAGAGATTATTAATTCTTGATGTGTAATCATTTGCAGTGGGGAATTGGCGGATTGAAGAGCTTGGATTTGTTTTGTTTGAGACTCAGGCTGAAGAACCTGAGAACTGCCTGAAGAACTCTCAGGAGGCAAAGAGAATCCAAGAAATCAATCTGCATGTTCTCCAAACAGTCAGAACTTATGAGAGGAATGCAGAACAGGGATTTTTGTGATCATCTGCTGAGTCACCAACTGAAAGGCGGGATTTCCATTCAAGTTCAACCACTGTGTTGTAGTGCAATCCAATTTCAAGGAAATGTCTCAAATAAGAAACCAGTCCTTGCAGCATTGCAGTCATACATAAAATACATTTTCTTTATTTAATAAAATTATGTCCCTACCTTCTTCTAGGAGCTCAAGGTAAGGCATATAGAGATCTTTCCTCATCCCCCCCCCAAATAACTACCTTGTGAAATAGGTTGGATAACTAAAAGCTCTCATACTTCCATGCTTGAGTAAGGAATTAAAGCTTGGTTTCTCTGGCTCCAGTCTAATCTTTTAACCATTGTCACATATTGGAGCCCTTACATTGTGGGTATGTCTAAAATATTGCAAGAGGAAAGCATTTAGTTACATTTTTACTGTATTTTCTTTGAAATGTTAACTAGAAAAGGTAGGCAATTTAGCAGCTCTTGATAGGAATATTTCTATTTGAATGAATCTTGCAATTAAAATGCGCTCATGTGGAAGGCAGTATCTTATCGTTTACTATTTTTCCCCAGTAGACTAGATCACCTTTTCTGCTTATATGTGAAGAGTAGCCAGTTCCTTAGGTTAGGTTAAAAAAAATAAAACCCACTCAACTAACAACAAATTTGAATATATCTTGCTCTTTTTCCTGAAAATGAATAAAAGTAAGTATCAGAAATAATACCTCAGATGTAGCTTTTCCTCAGTGATTGCTTTGATTGGTTGCTTCCAACTTGGCATTACGTTTGTATAGAATTTTCACAGAATTGAGATAGGTGGTGAGAGCCTTCTCACCTTTCTAGACGGCGTAGACCGGATAACTTGACAAATATTTTCTCCTGGTGGTATAATAATAAATTCAAAATGTCACAGAACATTCTTGTCAAAAAGACATTCCACAAGATATAGTTTGCTAAACCAAAAGAGAAAAGAAAAGAAAAGGAAGCAGGTGGGATAAATTTATGTTTAATTTATTTTCCTCTTCCCCCACATCTACCCACATACTTGTGCATGTATACACACACACACACAAATATACAGACACACACACACACACACACACACACACACACACACACACACACTGATGATGTCGGGAGGGCCCGACGAAAGCTTGGTTGCCTTTATTTTTAAACAGTGTTTTAATTGCTTTTAAACTTTTAACTGCTTTTAAACATTTTAAACTTCTCTTGGTGGTCGTGATTATTCCGATATAACATGGATTTACCCAAGAATCGGATTTTTAACTCTATTACTAGCCATATATATATATTAATATATATATAAATAATATCCGTGAAAATGCGACTCCTGGGCATAATTGTAGTCAAAATAAAACACGACCACCAGGAGGATTTAAGTAAGAAAAATATACTTTACTAAAATTGCCAAGCTTTCGTTGGGAACTCCCAACATCATCAGGGCTAAAAAGCCAGTCTACAACGATGACTTAAATAGGTTTGGCCATTATATATAATGGTGATGACCAGATATTATCAATAACACATACACACACAAGGGTCCATATTATGTTATGTTATGTTATAATCATATACCATATCCCATATATCATATATCATTATTATATTTATTATATTATATTTACATTATTATATAATACATAATGTGATTATGTTCATCCTTAAGATTCATCTTAAGATCTGAATCTTTTTAGATCTGCTCAAAACATATTGTAACGAAGTTTAGCATCAACAAATTTTGATGAACTTGATTCTCCCAGTCATTTTTTCAAAGAGGCCTCATGATAAGTTTGTTTTCCCAAAAGTCATAAATGTGACATATGCACCAAATCCTCTTAAAATGTTTTCAAGAGTGCCATTTGCATTGTACAGTATTTCAGTTTAGCATTGTTTGTAGCAGTTACAGAGTAGATAGTAGTGGGCAGAGGCTCACATTTGATCCTTTTTACTTTGGGAATACAACAGTGTAAACTGAAAAATTCTGCGATACAATTCACAAGCATCTTTTATTTTTTAAATTTTTCTTTTGTTTCAGCCATCTTTGAGACTTTGGAAGACAAGAACCCCTCATTTACTTCTTAAAAAGAAACGTGGAAAGTAATCAATCCACAGTTCATTATCTCATCCTTCAAGTGTGTGCCAACATGGCTTCCTTCCGTGTACAGTTCAAACCTTACCCCATTACCTACCTAATAAAGTAGGAAAGAAGAGGTCACCACAGGCACTGTGGCAGCTAGCTAATATAGATCTCTAAATATGTTGGGGCTAACTGTCCTGAGGCTTCTTGCATCAAGTGAGATTGAAAGTTGCACATCAACCTGAGTCATTTAATTTATTATGCCTTGTGGAACAGACTGTCTTTTCTAAAGGAGCCTTTTGCTTTTCCCCATCCCTCAGTGTCACTGCCAACTTACATCTTTTCTGTTTGCTTTTTACAGCTTTAAGCCAGAGGTTGATGCTTAAAATATTAATCTTTGTCCCCCATTTACCTTCTTTCCACTCTAGTTCCCAGGTGATGTAAATAACAGCAGCTTCACAAAAAACAACAAAAAAAACCACACGAGAGAAATTCTTGGTTTTGGGAAAGAAGGAAGAATAGCAACAATATTTCTTTTAATGGTTGATGTTAAGTTCTAAAATGAAAAGTAAAGTTGCAGATGATGATGATGATGATGATGATGATGATGATGATGATGATGATGATGATGATGATGATAATAATAATAATAATAATAATAATAATAATAATAATAATAATAATAATAATGATTTCAGTTGGGTCAACACATTCCTATGTTTACACTCTGTTTAAAGAGACAACTGAAGATCTCAAGTATTTTCATCACGATATCATTTCATACCAATAAACAATTTTATTACTCTTTTTTTAAATAAAGCAGATAACAGGAAGGGATGGTCCTGACCAGATAAAATAGTAAATTTGTCTAGAGCAAATTAGTAGAATTCCAAGAGAGGATATTAGAGCTGCAGCACACAATTTGATCAAGGTTTATAGTTGGCCTTTCATCTGGCCTGTTGGTATGCATAATCCAAGTAGGGATGTCTAGGAAATATAAGTGGGTAGTATGAAAGCAAATCCCATATTGAATTTAAATGCAGCGAATATAATCAATACTCATGCATCCAACGTTTTCTCCTCCTGTAATATTACAACTACATTTTAGCAGCAATTTTACAAGGACGTCTGATTGTATCTATGCATTAGAGATCTTCATGCCACCTTTGATCATCACACATTATTAGTAATACCAGTACTAGTACCGGTATTTTTAAAAATAATATATTTTGGGGGTATGGTTGCAAAAGTATAGTATCCAGATTGAGGGAAAGCAATTATTTAGCATTGATCTATCTATATGTTAATGTTGGATCCCATAAATACATAAATCAGTATGTCTATATTTATGTCTATGTCTTTCTCAAGAAACACATTGAGAAATTGGAGTTTCAAAAACCATGTCCTAGAAGCAAGCACTGCAGAAGCTGAGGTTTGTTAGCTTGGAGTATAAAAACTTAAGAATAGATAACGATAGTGATCTTCAAATCATTCTCTGTTGCTTTGGAGAGCAAGTATAACCCTGAGGAATATAAATGACAGGGAAGCAGATTGTAGCTAAGCATAAAAAGAAATTTCCTTGCATTATGAGGTGTTTGATAGTTGGAACAAACTGCCTTGAAAGAGCCTGAATCCTAAAGGCATATAAGTAGAGGATGGACAGTTACTTATCAGAGAAGCTATAATTGCATCCTGCATTACAGAACTATAGGCTACTATTTTGGCAGAAACTGAATCTGTTGAGATGAAATGAATCACCACATGGAATCTATTTGCTAAAAATCTCCCCAAAACACGATGTTACATCCAGGCTTCTTATTCTTTGCAGGTCTTCCAAGGCAATGTCAATGCTGACAGTGTGATGCAGCACAAATTCCTTCACTCTGTTAAAGCTCGCTTTGTGCGCTTTCTGCCCATGACATGGAACCCAAATGGAAATATTGGTCTGCGAGTTGAAGCTTTTGGATGCTCGTATAGTAAGTATTGAAATATATCCTAGCATACACTAGAAGCATCATCTTTCTGTTGAAGGTTCAGATACAATTTTGTACATTCAGATTGTCAGGAAGATCCTATGGTGCAAGTTTACAGAACACATCACAAGCTGACCAATTGGCCACACCACTGACTTTAGCTTCAGTAGCAAGTTGTGGTCAATCCCTATCTTCACTGTGTTGTCTGTATATACTTTTCCTTCAACATGTCCCAAAGGTGATTTTTCAAAAGGCAACTGGACTTTGTTTTTGCTTGAAGACATTTCACTTTTCATCCAAGAAACTTCTACAGTTCTAACTGAATAGTGGGGGATGAAAGGATTTATATTCCTTGCAGTCATCTGGTCGTTAGCACTTTTTCTGAGAGTTGTTGAGGCCACTTGGAGGTTTAGCCATGCCCTCAGGGTCGTCTGAATAGTGCAAATAGGTGTGGAATCTACTTGGAATTGCTAAAAGGACTGTGTTGTAACTCCATTCAGCAGTTCCAAGAAGATTCCACACCCATATGTACTATTCACTATTTTTCTGGTCTATTTTCACTTTTTCTTATATACATTTACCAAAAGTATTATGTAGAATGTGTCCAATGCCATTTTTTATGAGTAGATATTTTTAAAGATCACTTTCTTTCACTACAGATTAAAAAAAAGCTATATTAAACTAATATTTACAAAATCTGCCACGATTTGTTTTATGCAGAAGCAAAGATCAATTTGTATAATGCCCAAAAATTATGTCCAGTTTTATTGAAAAAGAGACATCAATGGAAAATAGAATGGATTTGGAGCTCCTGTGATTTTCTGAAGTCCAAAGCCCAGCCCTTTTTGGGAACTTTAGTAACTAACTAATATAAGCGTTAAGTGGAACAGTTCATAAATTCTAGAATAACTGTCATCTAATGTGCTAGGTTTCATTGTTTCCTATCTAAGGAGAATTATGTGAAGTTACACTAAAAGGTGCAATATGTTCTGAATGATAAAATAGTTACGACTCTCTAATATGGTAACACAAGGAGAAATATTTCTATTAAATTTCTATTCAATATTTCTCAACATGAAATTCTTCCTTGTAACACTTAACATTGTTGGAGTGCCTGCTGCCATTTGTGGGCATTCCACCTTTAGTGCCTTAGCCCAAAATGAAAAGTGATGAGCTGGACATGGGAATAAAATGAAAACCTGATTGTGAATTAATTAGAAGTGTTGTTGGATGTCTGCCAAGAAGTAACCATTTGTTTAGGATCAAAGCCAGGAAAAGAGGCCTAGGAGTTAAGTGTCTCATTAGCACACCCAGGGTAAAATCACAACCACATGTTTCATTGGATGCACCTCTGCCAACTCATACCAGTTTTTTGTTTTTTTTTGTTTTAAAGTGCTATATAATTAGGAAATAAATTTCCAGGTACAATGTTTCTATAAGGAAAAAATGGAAGCACTGCAGTTTTAGGGAGTTTTCAAAGTGTTTATTATATGATCATATGGGACACAATGAAGTCTTGTGTACAAATTATAGTAAAACCTATTTCGGTTCAACTTTAGAATTTATTTATTTATTTGTTTGTTTCTCAATATGAATCAATTATTTACTTAGACCTATACATGAATTATTCCTTATACATACTGTACGTCTTTATTATTTTTCTGATTCTGCCTGAAGTACCTAGTTGGATTCAAATCTTTTCAAAGAAGTATTTGAATGCAACTACACTGATTTCAACAATGGGCATTTAGGCCAGATTCATATAATACACTATCATAGTGTTTGGTTTTGGCTTAATGAGTTCCGTAACTCCAGACACTGTAACATATGAACAAAGGATAGTTTAATGGTTTAGGTGAACTGTGGATTATTCAATTATCTATGTCTAAAACTCATTATATGAACCTAGCTTCAAGGTGAAAATATCACAATGGGGCAGGAGAATAGTGCTATTGCCCAGCTGAGAACCAATTCAGATGCTATACATACAGACATTTAATGTATACTCCTGTATTCTTTTTCTATTCTGTTCTCTCTTTGTGTCACCTTCAGTTCTGTCCAGAAAATATCTCGCAATCATGGCAACTCTTTCAGTGGAATCATTAGGGCTGGGCAATGATTTGGATTCAAAGACAAAAATATGCTCAACAGTTGCATCTTTTTAAAATTTCACAATTGTTTTCCATAATTGCAACTCAATCCTTTGAAAATGTGCATTTGGATGTGTTTCAGAAAGGTGCCACAGGAGTTCTTGAAGTACCTTTTTGCCACTGATAATTTGCATATGTACAATGTTTAAATTAGTTAATGAATTAGCTGATGTACATCAAAAAATATAACTTGGCAAATATGTAATAAAAGAAAAAAAAAAAGGGAGCGGAAGACCTGTAATCTAAACAGCAAAGTAGGTAGGAAAAATAATACTGCAGGAAATGTAATGGGCTGGGTGAAAAGCGGTATAGAAGAAAATACATTGCCTAAAAATCTGTTATTTGTTTTTTTTTAATTATTATTATTATTTTTTATTATACATCTTTCAAACATAAAATGCATTAACATACATACATTTCAATTCTAACATTACACATTTTAGTTATATAACTATTAATGCATACTTATAATACCATCCCGACTCTCCCCCCACCCCATTATCCCCCTCCCCCTCCCTTTCCCCCCCTTCCCCTCCCTCACTTCCCAGAACGGAACACAGGGTTACCAAGCCATTATAATATCCACAACTTATCTACCATACTCTCTAATTTTAAAATAAACAACATCCTAATTTCTTTAACCCCCTTCATAACATTCATTCTACTAACATAAGAAAAAATTTTATTCATAACCTACATGATAATTTTTTATCTCATATCTCTTCTGTATATAAACTATCCATCTTTCCCANAATTTTATTTTCTTTTTAAAAATATTTTGGGTAATCCACCATATTTTGATCCAAAATGCCTTTATTTCTCTACATGACCACCAAATATGAAAATATGATGCTTCTAGACTTCCACATCTCCAACATTTGGGCTGTAAGTTAGGATACATATATGATAACTTTTGTGGGTCTAAATGCCAATCTGTTATTTGTAAAATGTGGTCTACAGAGATAGTGTGATGACAATGGGTTACATCACAAAGAGACTACTGCAGAGTGCTTTACATGGTACAATCCTCAATATATACAGAAGCTTCAACTAATGCAAATGAAGGCAACCAGTGCACAATGTGAGGATCATTTGGAATACTAATCCAGATGCTTTTCAGGTATAATTCAAGCTATAAAGCCCTAAACTGTGTAGATGCTAGCACCATCTTGATTGCTACCTTCATGGCTAAGCAAGGATGGAGATTGGTAAAAAAGCCTTCTAAAAGATGCTTAGATTTTTTAATCAGTTAAGACTGAAAGGACAGAAAGCAGGGCATGCATATTAGCCAAGAAGCCATCTTCCCTTACCCTTGATAGAGATCCCAAGAGCCATGAATGTTACTGTTTCACTATCTGTGACTCCAAATCTCTTCTCTTACTACTACTCTGCATGAGAATAGCAAAATTGAAGCAAGTAATATGAAGAAGAAGTAAAAGTTCAGACTTCTTTTATAATTCTTCCACAGAGTTGAATAATATATCTTGGAAGTCCAGGGCAATAGACTAACCCAGAAAAACTTTATCTACAGCCCAAAATAATTCTCCAAAATAGATATCCAAGTTCTGATTTTCAATATGATAGAAGAAGCAAAATATTAAGTATCATTGTAGAGAAATGGAAATGAAATCAAATTTAGATTTTGCCCTACCACTTTCTGACATCATTTTTTGGAGTACAGACCAGAACCAAACCTTTCAAAAGCCAAATATTCTCAAAACAGGAATGAATTGATTGCCATTTGCTCTTTCAACAAAGGACACCTGTGAAACTGGCAATGTGGAGTCTGAGTCACAGGGTTTCTGGACAAAGTTGATGAGGGGAATGTCATTATTTTATATTTTTGGAAAAGGGGTTATCAAGCAGTTCAAGGTTGTTGTTGTTGTTGTTGTTGTTTTTTAAAAAAATAACTTGCAGAAGCAGATGTGTAGGTGGCCATCATTTTGTTATCACTGAGAAATGAACATGTGTAAATTAACTTTGAATGAACCATGATCCTAAAGCTGCAACGATTCAATCTATTTAGATATATTCAAGCCATTTCTGAAAGCAGAAACAGAGGTTGTGACTCATCTCTATCATTCATACGGAACTGAGATATTCATACCTCAAGTCAAATCACCAATTCTTCCTCTGAAGGACATAAACGTTCTAGACACTGCATGAACCCACATAAAGCTTTGAAGGGCTATTTTGCTTTGATGAAGCTTCAAATAAAGCACCATCTCAAAGTTATTCATAAGGTTTACCCCCCCCCCCACACACACACACATACTTCTATGATGGAGCAGGGAGACTTGTTGCTTTGCCTTGCTCTGCTTTGGAATACTACTAATCTTCACAAAAATAAAAGAAAAAACTGAAAGGAGGCTGTGGGAGAAGACTGAGGAAAGCCTCTTCTTCCAGGCAGCCTGAAGACTGCTTGCACACACCAAAGTTTATTTTGGCCCCATAGGTTCCTTGGAGGAGGCAAATGCTATGTTTTGTTTTCTTTTAATTGCTATGCTGTGCTGTGCCGTGCCATGCCATACCGTGCCATAGCATGCCAAGCCACAGGACCTGGCTAATGCTGTAGAGGAGGCACTGACCATCCTTCATGGGCACACTTATACAGACTGAATGTTCCAGAAGACAGGTATTAGAGGTGGTTAATTTGGAAGTCTCTCTAATTATGTTGAAGAAGCTGCCCATCCTCCAAGCACTTGTCACTATTGAGCTTGAAAGTTGACAAGAACCTCTTCTAGTAGTGCTGGCCCAAATAAATTCAAGGCCACCAGAATTGTTGCAGTGGGTAGCCTCTTTGCTTTGGTAATGTAAGTCTTATTGATTCCTTGTCCCATATTGTTTCATCCA